TAACCAAACTGTTTCTGCCAGGGCCCAACGTTGAGCATACCCAAGAAGGTGCTGAGAGCTCTCCCAGCAGTCAGAAGGAGCAGAGGGAGCTCAACATCTCAGAGAACAAGATGCAGGGGTTAAAGCGCATGTAGTGTGGGAGCACTCTTCTTCCCGTTGCTTTGCCCTAAAAGAGCACGCTGAGTTCTATTATTTGTCCTCTACTCTCCTTTAGCCTCAGTCCCAGGTACCTTGAGAAATGCCCTTGTTTACTGAACCCTGGAGCCATTTCAATGAGGAGAGCCTCTCCCTGGGCTTCAGGTGCCTCCACCCCAGGGTGAGGAGGCAGGTTTGTTTGGCAAGACCCTGTGCGTAAGGGCTGTCAGTCACACCTGATATAAAAGACACAGCACTTTGGAAATTACTACAACAATACTTAACAAATACAAAATGAAGACAAACTCGCTACAGAATGTAAATGCAGAGCGGATCCCAGTTTTATTAGTGGTTTACAGTTCCTCCCCTGAAACAAAAGACACCACAGAGTAAACTCTTTTTTTTTCCAGCAGTGAGTATTCACCCACCACATAAGGAGGAAAAAGGAATCTGGCTTATGCCGGCACAAGCCACAAAGTCTAAAATGATCTCTGAGCAGGCTTTTGCCTCATTCTGTTATCAATTATACTTGGCTGCAATGGAGATTGCCTTGACCTGTGCCCATGGGAGAGAGAGGAGCATCAGGCCTCTCTTCTTGAATAAATAACAGATCTGACTCATGACTGCATTGCTCCTGTTTTACATTAGGATAGTGTCACTGATTTCATTAGGGTTGCACTAGTTTAAAAAAGAGCTGGCTGACTCACTGATTAATCATACCTGAGGCCTTCCAAATAGTTATATAAAAAGGGTAATCTATTATTTAGCAATACATGCCCCTAAGAACCCTCCCAAACACTTTGTCCAAGAAAGGCCTTTTCTCAAGGCAGGGATACACTCAGTTCTCCACTGCATTAACCTATGCACCTCCTCCTTCATTCATTTATTAGAGGCAGAAATTCCACTACATGGCAATACTAAAGGTCAAACCTGTTCCCAATAAACCAAAGGCAAAACTCTCAGGAGCTGGCCCTAATAATTTATCATCAGAACTCTGGAAAACAACAACTTCATCAGTTAAAATGTCTACAGCTCATTTGACCCCATAGGCGACCAGAACACTTTACAGACACTGGTGTAAGCAGTGATAATCAGAGAGTGGCACTTGCTTACCCACGGACTAACTTTGGCCAGAACATACAAGTACCATGAACACAATCAACCCTAAGCCTATGCAAGTAGGGCAGTCCCCAGTGACACCCCCTTAAATAGTCACAGTAGAAAGGCCGGAAGCAATTGCAGGAAAGCAATAGTTTGATTTTCAGAGCTGCTGAATGCAAGTGACTTCCACTGGTTTTCAGTGACTCACTGATTTCATTGACCTCAAGTGCTCAGGACCAAAGATGGAAAGCATGGTAACAGCACAAGCCAAAAAACAGGGCTTCCAAATTGCAAGTAATTTTGGTTTCTTTCAAAATTTGATTTTGGCTTAAGTCGGACTGAATTCACTCCAAAGCTACCATGCTCCGAATCCCAGCTCCACGGCAGGTAGCATAGAAGTTCAAGACTGTGGAGCTGTGCAACAATTAGAGCTGGGGCTCCTAGGGCTTTTGGCATACCAGCTCAAAAGTATATGGCTTGGAAAATCCACCCTGGCTGGCTGTCTCCCAACAGGGGACTCTGGAGTCCTGGGTCCTTGGCCCAGGGGAAGTCTGCCTAGAGCCAAGCAGCTGCTGGGACCCAGCAACCAACTCTGCTTATCTCCACAGCAGCATGGGGAGATCACCCCTGGCCGAAACTCCCCACCTCCAAATGTAGCTGAACCTCCTCATGCATACGCTGGATCCAATGGTTTCACAAGCTGGATCCAGCCTACAATCTGTAGGTTGCCAACCAACCCCTGCTTTAAAGGGTGCAACAGACCCAACAGCAAGCATTTTGCAGGATTTGCCACTCTCCTCGTCCAATTAAATTCCTCCAACTCCAACAGGCTGCTTGAGGGACATGCCTCCTGCAGAACCAGCACCGTAACACTGACTTTCAGCCAGAACCAGGTGGAGAGAGAAGGAACAGGATGTGGAGAAGCCTGTGGTAGCCTGTTCACATTAGTCTGACCTCTTTGTGGTTCCATGTTTTGCCATCTAGCAAGGCAGTCCTCAGCTGCCTCCAGAAGATGTGCTTGCTGACCTCTTTGTCCTTCCACTCCAGGTAGGTGTTCCTCCGCAGGTACCGGGACAGCCCCAGCAGACGCCGCTGCATTGCCTTATCCACTTCCTCCAGGACAATCAGGATGATTCCAGCTTTCCCCTCCACGAACTGCCAGGACTGGGCAATCTCAAACTCAAACCTACACCAGTGGCTCTCTAGGAAGTGGCTGGAGATGACAGCAATGACCTTCCTGCTGCTCAGGAATCCTTCCTGGACAATGTTGGAGACGATGGGCACCCCGGGCTCAAAGTCTCTGTAGTGGAGGCAGAGGCGGAAGGGGGGAACTCCCTCCTCTAAGGTCTTCACCAGCTCCTCTTTAACCCAGTCAACATCTTTGCTGGAGTGGATGACGAAAGCATCGTAGGTGTCTCCCCTCTCAGAGGAATGCTTACACCCACTGAGCAGCACTACCGCATAGTACAGGTGGAAATAGTACTTGTAAATCAGGAACATGATCAGGACGGCAACAAGGGCCATGCTCACTGAAACAACCACCAAGATTATGCTGAGCTGACAGTAGGACAGATCAAAGTTCAGCACGGTCACATTCTTCATGTTAACTGGGCTACTGCAGACCATCATCTCAGTGTTTTGAAGCAACGGCTTCTGTTTCTGGACCCACTCAAAGAAGCTCAAATGGGTGCAGGAACAATCAAACATGTTGTGAGAGATGTCCAGGTGGATCAGCCTGTCTGCCAGGTTCTTCAGAGCTGCATGCATCAGGAATGTTAGCTGGTTGTTACTGAAATCCAAGACAGTGAGGGCCTGCAGAGGCAGATAGGTCGTGGTGTCAAGAGTCTTCAACCTGTTGTTGCTGATGTTGAGGTCTTGCAGGTTCTGGAGGTCTGCAAATGTGCTTGAAGACACCTGCAACAATTTGCAACTGGAAACATCCAGGGTGCGCAGCTGGGTTAGATTCCTGAAGTTGCTGGCCAGGCTGTTGTCCTTAAAGGAGTTGCCAGCCATCTTAAGCACCTGCAGGGATTCCAGGCCCCAAAAGACACATTCGCACAAGATCTGAACACCAGTGTAGGAAATGTCAAGGTAGGTGAGATTTGCGAGGGAGCGGAAGAGAGGCATGACCCCAAAGTCTTTTAGTATCGAGTGCTGAAAATCCAGGGATAACAGTCCATTCAGGCAAAAAGGTTCCTTCAAGCCAATGAGAACATTGAAACTTAGGTTCAAGTGCTTCAAATTTGGGGTCCCAGCCAAATGAGAGGAGCAGCACCTGGTGAGACTGAGCTCATTCTCACTCAGATCCAGCACTTCTAGGCTAGGCAGATCCTTAAAGCCATTCAGGAAGTTAGTGAGGTACTTGCTCTTGGTAATCCGGAGCACTCTTAGCTTCCTGAAGAGGGACAGCTTCACTGCGGGAACCTCCTTAAACTTGCAGAGTTTGCATTCCAGGCTTTGTACTTTGGAGAACTCAGGAACCGTTGACACTTGGCTGAGGTAGAGGTCCACGAATCGGATGGTGGAGACATTGAGAAGGCACTCGAAGACCGTGTCTGTGTGATTTTGGAACCTTTTGAAGCTGATGAAGACAAACTCCTGCATCTGTACTTGACACAGTCCATCCAGGAGCCCATTTTGAAAGTTCTCCACTCTCCAAATATTCCGGAACTCCCCCAGGATGAGTCTATTGACCTGCAAACCAGCAAGACCCTGGAGGCAATCCTTCATAACTGTGAAATTGTTAAAACAGGCTCTCAAGGACAGCTCCTGGAGCTGAATGCCTTCAAAGGCACCTGGCTGAATGTATTTTATATCATTCAAAGAGAGCACTAATGTGAGATAGGGTCCCTTTCCTTCCTGCAGGACGTCCAGCTGTCCTTTGGAGATGTACGAGATCCTATTTGATTGAAGGCTCAGGAATCTGAGGGAGGTCAGGTCGGTGAAATATTTTGGTAGCGTCAAAGACTCTATGTGGTTGTTGCCCACATTCAACTCCTCCAGGGTATGTAAGTGTCTGATGGGGAGGTCAGCCAGACAGAATATGTTGGTTTCTACAGCTATCAGTCTTTGCAGGGATGTCAAACCAAAAAAGGCTGATGGACCAAGGTTCTGGAGGGGATTTCCAGTCAGAATCAAGGTGGACAGGTTACAAAGATCCTCAAAGGCATAATTTTCAATTGTCTGGAGGCAGCACCTGTTATACAAGAAATAAGAATAACATACATGAAATGTTGTCACTTCCAATATGCATGTACACAGGTGCCAGGGAATTGCAGTGGGCACAGATGCAGGATTATCATGGCAGGTGAAGTTTCCCATATGCAGCATTACCAAACAAGGAAACCTTATTGGCACAACAGTATTGAGTCAGGGCAGTATTATCACCTAGCCCTATGTGAGAACACAACATTATCACCTACAGATGCGGCACTGTCCAATCAGGAAAAAGGAAATCAGCTTAGGGAAAGGACATGAGCATTGATACATAGTAAGCATCGCTCACATCTCACCTCTCCTGCCTAAATCTGGAATTAAATATAGAAGGGTGGGATTTACTACTCTGGTTAGAGTCAGACATAGTGCAGGCTTCATTAAACATCTCCCAGTCCTCATCAGCAGCATGCAAGGATGTTCCAAGGTTTCTGCACAATCAGACATGCTTGAAGAACAGACTGGGATTTCAGAAGGCACCTAGGAGATTTGAATACCCAGCTATTCATTTTCATTGGAATGGGGTGCTCAGTTTGGCACTCAGCTTACATTATTTCTAAGGACCCACAGGAATACAGAGGAGTTACAAACAAACCAAAGACCTTACATCTGGATTCCCGCATGGAAATTATGTGGTGCATATGTAAAGGAATCTGACTGCACTGCACAGCATGATTTGAACCCAAATTCTTCAGTCATTTGATCTAACAGACCAAACCCATTAGCTGAAAACAGTAGCAGACTCAGAAATCCTTTGTGCAAACTCCCCATACTCCCTTAGCATGAGGTTGTATATTTGATCTGAGCACTAAGGGTGCCTATGCACGTGCTCTGATGTGTTCTAATTAGATTAGATTAATTGAATCTGCTGCAGCGTTCTAACTGGAACACTCCAGCATGCTGCAGTGTCACGTGTATTCAGCGTTCCTTGTTTCAAAATGGTGGTGGGGGCACTTTAATTAAAACTCGTTGAATGAGCTTTAGACAAAAGCACCCCTGTGGCCATTTTGAAACACGGGATGCTGCATACACATGACACTGCAACATTTTAATTAGAGAGGCTGTCCAGGAGCTGCTCTAATTAAAACATTCAGCTCCCACCCCCACTTTGGAGCACATCTATAGACACCAGATTCATGTTTGGCACTAATACAACCAACCAACTTAGGTACACAGTAAAGTTTAAGCCCAGGAACTTGGTTTCTATAACCATAAACTTCTAAAGCTTGGTCTAAAACAGGGATGACCAACCTGTAGCATATGTACAACAAGTGGTATGAGAGCAGCCTCTGTGTATGGAAGGAAAGGAAGGAAACAGGGAACACAGTGGCAGTTAGGGTGGGGAAGAAAAAGCAGAACTGCAGATCAAGCAGGGAACAGAAAGGCAGGGAGCAGAAAGCAGACAAGCAGATCTCATAGACAAGACAGGGCAGGGAGCACAGATGCAGAGTGGCAGATTGGTGGTTGGCCATGGGAAGGGAATCAGTGTGGCACTCAGGGAGGGCATGGGGCTTTATAGCAGGCCTGCCAAAAATATTGGCCCTCACTGGACTAAAAAATTTTGGCCTAATTTGAGCTATCCATCTGAAAAACTTCAGCCTACACTTAGGTCTGTATTTAAGCACCTAACTGAATATGGGGTATGCCTAAACATGTTCAAAGATTTTGTGGAACTATAGCCTGTTTTTTCAATTCAAGCAACAGGGGTATATGTGAAGTCAGACACATGTATTTAATGAGATATGAAAGTTGAGGTCCTAGCAATCTAAAGAAAACTACCCATCGAATAGGACAGAACATGACCTACAATTCCTAATATCCTAATAGAGTGGAGGAAGGGGGCAACCTTTTTTTTGGCAGCCATGCCACAAGGTAAGACCTGTCCCCTCCCTCAGTGCCACTCCAGTCCCTTTCCCCTCCCTAATCCATTGCTCTGCACTCTTCTCCTTGCTCTGTGTGCTGCCGTTCTCCCTGCGGGATGTTCTATATGCCACATAAAGCTGCTGCATGTGCCACTTGTGGCACGTGTGCTGCTAATTGGCAACCACTCTCCCAATGGAAAACCAAGGTCAAGCACTCACTCAAGCAATGAGAGTTCGCAAGTAATTAGATTACAGATATGCAAACAACCACTTGTAAACCTGAGCACTGTAATAACATATGGGGCAGACACCTGAATTCAGAAGGGAATAAAATATAGAGACTAGGGCACACCCTGGGTAAATGCCTTTAAATTACGCCTTCAGCCACCCTTTGCCTCTGCTGTGCTGTCAAACACTAGGAAGTCATTGACTGGGGCTCAGTAAATAATTCTGTTGATGTGCAAGAAAGAAAATCCCATTCACTCCTCCTGAGTTGTCTTTGCAGGGCCAATAGAAGCAAAAAATAAAAAATAAAGAAGTGGGATGCTCCCATCAAGCAGATTTACTTAGTAAGAAAGAAAACATTAATCTAATTTGCCTAGTCCACTTTTCAAAACAGAACCAGTTTTTGTGGTGACCATAATTTAACTTCTCAGCCAAAAGAGAGCATCTAAAAGAATATAGGAGGCCCACCATATCACCCAGCACTATTTCACCTATGCCAGCCAAAGCTGAAAAACCTGTATTGGTTAAACAGTTTATTCATTAAAAAAGGCAGTTGGGTGGGGGACAACTGAAATGATTTGCATATTCAAATGTTGTAAATAGTGTTTGGCCAAAAATAAAAAAAGAATGAAGTTGGAAAAGATGAAGCACTGCAATCTGACATTTGCAAAATGTAATATGTTTACTACATCTTCCTGAATAGTAATATGAAAGGATCATTACCGAGCAAGATCCAGAAACTTCAATGCAGGGACTGCTGCGAAGTTATTTGAGCCCAGCGATCCCAGTGGATTGAAACTCAGATCTAGGTTCTGGGTGGAAGGTGGGATTTCAGCAGGAACCCTGGAGAGGTTCAAATCCATGCATTTGTAAGTCAGGCCAGGAACCACCTGCAACATTCACAAACCCAATTCACAAATTAACACGCTTTTCCTCAAAGTGTAAGACAATGATACCATCAGAAAATAACAAGGTAGCCTACCTAACTGCATGCCAAACACATTCTCCAGCTTCACTATATGAGCTGCATTGTGCCTCGTGGCTTCCAACATCTGCTTCTGCTCTTATAGTAATATTCCTATCTCCTAAGCTAATGGCTTAATTCTCTGTAGGCTCTGAAGGCAGAGATTTCATTATCTCTTATTTACATTAAACAAAGTTTGGTGATACTTGTTGGGGAAAAAAAGAGCAGGCTACAGAAGCACTAGCATGCTAGAGTCACAGGTCCCACAGGCAAAAGAAAGGTCCCCCAGAAAAAAATAAGTTGTCACGCTTATGCAGCGATCACGTACCTCCAAGCAGGGATTGAACTTGCCAGCTGCGCACTGTGACAGGAAAGGCATGGCCAAAGAGAGCATGAAGAGTGTTGATGGGGAGCAAACCCCTCTCCTGAGCATCTTCCAGATGTGAAAGTCCAGTAGAAATAACCATGACTGAAAATCAAAAAATCTGGCTAAGAAAAACTCCTAAAATGCTGCATCTCATTCTCCCCTTCCTAATGTGTTCCCAAATGCAACTGGAGGCAGCAGGGGAAGTGAAACTGAAAATTAATCAGCTCCAAGACGTGCTCACTGTACAGTAATATTTTCAGTGATTTGTTAACGAGAAAAAATATATAAATCATGGGAAAGCGTGAAGCCAAGAGGAACCAAAATATCTTCAGAGGAAGTCATTTGACTCATACCTCAGCCTTGCTTGGAGTAAACTGAATGAAAACAGAAGATCTCATGGAAACCAGCCATTGCATCAACGCCCAGCCTTTATGAGGAAGACAGGTCAGAAGTTCCAGTACGGTAACACGGCTATGGTTCAATGAATTAGACGCACCACGTTTGCACAGCAGTTACCATCAAGTGCTTTGTTTTCCCACACAGACTAGAGAAATACCGTGGTGTTATCTGGTCCCTGTGCCCTGTTTCCAGCTCTAGCAGACCAGGGATGAGCATGGCACTAAGTAAGTGCTGGAGTTTTAAAAATGACAATGGGCTGGGAAGTGACATAGTGGCATAATGAACACAGAAGAGCTGTGGCTGCTACAGTGCACAGAATGAAAAGCTACCTTTGCAAGCCATCCCTGCTGCTTTTTCATGTCCAGTGGGACAAAGCCTTTATCCTCCTGCTGCATGTCCCCAAGATCTTTCATCTCCCCTCCCTCCTGAAATCCTGCACAACACTACAGAAACATTTTGCCCCTAGATACAGTGGCTCTGGCCATGCCAGTAAGGAGGCAATGTAGTTCATTCAGGGGTTGAAAGTTCATCGATGCTTGGAAAGTTCTGGGTTTGACGTTTCCTTCCTATCCTGATACAATAAATGCTGTCAAGGTACTTTCCACCAACAGATCTCAAAGCAAGTTGCAGATATGAAGCAGCCCTCATAAGTCCTCTATGACACAGGTAAGTGTTATCCCCACTTCTCCTGAGGCACCCAGAAGTTATGAGAGTGATGGCATATGCATGCTGCTTCTGTGCCATTCAATCCTGCATGCATCAACTCTGGGATGCCTTTAGTCCAGTGGTTCCCAACCTTTTTCAGACTGCGGATTGGCAAACATATTTAAATTTAATTTGTTTATTTAAAGTTGCATATTTATGTTAACATTTTTGTATTTAAATTTAATTGGGGGAGGGTTGCAAAGATTGGATCGGGTTGGGGAGCTGCAGCCATGGGCACCAAGGGGCCCTACAGGGGAGGGGGCTGCACAGGTGGTGGCACGGGAAAACCCAGCTAGGGATGCCCAGGAAAAAGGGTCTCCACTGCCTTCCCTAAAAGCAAGCAGCTGAGCTGCCACCCTACCATTCACCCCTGGCATTTCCCCGCCTGCATCCCCTCACTCCCAGCTGCAGATGGGGCTGGGGGATCCTGTCTGGCCCGGCATGGGCCCTGGTACCTGCTGTGCAGGCAGCACTTTGTCAGGCATGGCCACGGTAGCTGGCATGGGATGGGGAGCAGTGGAGCCGGCTGCCTCCCTCCCAGGGATGCCCCGCTGCCCAGCTTTCTTAACCCCACACATGACTGCCGGCAGCCCGGCAGCCAACACTTCATGGCCTGGTACCGAGCCGCAGCCCGGTGGTTGGGAACCTCTGATTTAGGCCATAAGCAAGCACACCTAGAGGTGCTCTTAGGCACGCTGTCTCAGGTGTGCTTACTGGAGTGCACTCAGGATGCACATTGTGCTACGTTGCTTCATTTCCAGGTGTGCTACGTTGCTTCATTTCCAGGCGTAAGTGAGTGGGACATTGCTTAACAGCAATGCTACAGGGTGCAGTGCAAACAACCCCTTCCTCACGATAATACAGTAAGTCAGTGGCAGAGCTGGAAAGAGAGCCCAGGAGTCCAGCCTGAGATGGGTGTGCTCTTCACACGTGCTCTTCCATATCCTATATCATGCAGTTATAAAATACATCCCTTGCTGAGAACCTGCCACTCCTGTGCTTTGGATGAGAGAAGACAGACAGGGAATAGTTCTTCTACCTTGAGCAATGACCGTCAAACATTTTCTGGGCTTTTCCCTTCACCGTGACAGCAAGACCTTCCAAGCCATTGCGTTGCAATCTGAATGAAATGCAGATGAAATTTCAGAAGGAGTAAATGTCCTCAGTTTATAAAGCATTTGCATGGTTTACTGGGCCACAGTTTTGCAATATTCCAGGTAGAAGCAAGGGGCTGCAAATTACAGAGCAGCAGCCTGTGAACAAAACCACTGCAGACATCTTGCTTAATTGGACAACAGAAAAGCATAAATAAGAAACACAGTGGAAGACCTGTTGCATATTGAAGAGGACATAATCAACCCTCAGCCCAAATAAAGATGGGAAGAACTGTCTGAACCAGAGCCATCAGATTTGGGCAAACAGTGGAGCTGTAGCAAGGCCAAAGAAGCAGGGAGTTAGAGCAGAGCAGGAGACGCATAGTAATAGTTGTGTGCTCACTCTCAGTGTTGCATGAAATCTAAACAGGGGCAATGTAACTCTCACTGTAACGGGGCCTTGGTTTAGCTTCTCTGAGCTGAGTCCTCACCCCCACTTTTAGCTCATTGTCATTAATTATCTGTTCATACCTACTGTTTCTGGGTGACCCTTTGTAGTCTATAGGAATTGAAATCCTTTCACGAAAGTAGAACTCTAGTGATCCTCCTTTTTTCTATGCAGTAGCCACCCCTGCTAGAGCATCAGTATCCACATCTTGCTAGGCCTGTGCATTTTCACATAGTAAGCACCATTATTTTGGAACCCACCTATGCCTGTGTGGTTTCTACGTATAATTAATGTTGGTAACAAGGATGGGATCCTAATTCAGGAGTATGATGGAACATGGCATAACTATAGAGGCCTAAAAGTGAAACTATCAAAATGCAGATTGCAACACTGGGGCAATGAGTCACCTGCTATTGTAGAAGGAAAGGGGTTTAAAAGGTCTGGGTCTTTGGGGAAATTAAACTTCTTCCATAGTTCAGCAGAGGACTACTGAGGGCCTGGAACAGTCCATAATCGCTTGCGATAGCAGTGCTGAAAGAGGTGGTAGTGTTAGCGAGCTAAAATCTATAACCTGCTCCACAGCCTAGCAGCTTCTGTCCTATTCAACTAGGCAAGATTGTGTAAGCTCCACAGAATCCCATCCCCAAAGTCGATAGGGATCACTGAGCATTTCATCTTTTACAGATGGAATCCAAGGGATAATGAAACAGTGGCTGAATATGTGACTGGATTAAGACATTAACAGAACATTGATGGTTTAGAGAGTTTAACTGGGTCCAGGAGTGTAAAGGGTCCAGTTAGGTATTAAGTCTGTAAACAGAAGCAACCTAAAAATGGCTATTGACTGAAGCTAATTTGACACTTAAACATGCCCTAGAGATCACTGTTTCAATAGAAACTACTACTAAAGAGGCCAGGGAGTTGTAAAGGCATCATGAAATCCATGCAAAATATAAACTGGGAGTCCAAGAGAAAGCACAGCATGCAGCACACTGAAAGACTGTGGTCTCTTTGCAGGAAATTGTCTTAGCATGCAAAAGATTGCTGAGCAAACTAGAAACTGGACATATACCAGAAACATGCAGGTGAGCACAAATGCACCACCATCATCTCACAAGGACAATACCAAATAATTTTAAGTCATCTGGTCATTGTGGAGTCCAGCAAGAAATCTGTAATATCTCTTCCACTCTTTAATATAGAAGAGTGCTTCTTAACCTTTCTTGTACCAGGACCCATTTGTAAACTTTGACAGCCAGTCCTGACCCAGTACCCCTTACTCCCAACCCACTGCCCCCCGCCCCCAGGTCCCAGCCCCGCAGTGTGATTATTCTTGGATTATCCTCTAATGATTATTATTTGAATTGAAAGAGTACTCAGAATAAAGCTTGATTTTGGACCTGTTGGTTCTGTAAATTTCCGGGCAGGATTATATGAGACCACTGTAAAGAATCAAGTTGCAAAAAAACCCTCAGAGTTTCTAAAAACTTACAAAGAGGAAATCCAGAGGGGAATATACAATTATAAACATGGTAAACCTGTATGTTGTAAAGCCAGGAAGTCATGCATTACCTAGTAAAGAATGGCTAAGAGAGATTTAGTTAGACTAAAGAAGTGTGAAGTCTCTTCAAGCCTTCAAAAATACTATAACCTCTAGTCCAAAATAAAATTCAGTTGAACTTTTGGACAAGAGAGCTAATGTTTTCTGGAACCATGACACATACAGAAGCAAAAGCTTGTGCTCAAAGGGGGAGCAAGTCCTAAACTTTGGACATGTTGCAAAAGGTTTTGGACGAGCTTTGCAAAGACAGAGACAGAACAGCAAAGCAGGTCTTACAAAATGTTGGAATTATATTTAGGAATAACTGTAGTGAATGAAACACCCACATACTGGCAGTGATAAAAACAAATGTGGGTGTCCACATCCATGATGATTCCAAGGTCACAATTCACCCAGTACTTCATGGAGATCAATATCCTTTGCCAAGAATGGAGGATATATTTGCTTCATTAGTGGGTGCTAAGCATTTCTCTAAGTCTGGTTGCAAATGGAGATTGAAGATTGTGACAAGACACAGCTTGTGATTTACACAGAAAAGATCTTATTTCAATATAACAGATTAGTGTTTGGAATAACATCTGTTCCCACCATTTGGCAATGGTCCACGGACCAGATACTACAGGGCATTCCTGGAACTCAGTGTTACTTGAGCGATATACTGTGGTGGGAGCTAGCAATGAAGAACACCTTGAGAACCTGCAAAAAGTACTTGTGAAAGTCTCTGAGTACAGTTTGAGTGCAAATAAGGGCAAATGTAAATTTTTCAAAGAAGCAGTTGCATATGGAGGCTGTCATATCGACAAAGGATGTGTATGAACCACAAGAAAAAAAGCAGAAGATATCCTTAAGGAAACTAAACTCAAAATGTGTCACAATGACTGTCCTACTTGCAGACATTCAATTAGAAATGGATGGCAATAACTAACATAGCCTCTATGCAATATCACTTGAATGAACAGCTACAATGGACAGAAATAGTGTTAACCCACACAGAGCACCCAGGCTTGTGATGCAGCCAAAAATCTAATATTATCTGAAAGGGCCCTGACACACTACAGTGCACCTGTGCCTATAAAGTTAGCTTATGACACTTCCCCATATGGAATAGGTGCAGTAATTTCATACTTGATGGAAGATCATAGCAAAGGGCCTAT